ATCCTGCTAAAGCTGTGAACACAAACTCCACTGGCCACCAGAGCCAGGTTATTGAGGGATGTGTTCTCTCAGCAGGAGTCACACAAGCCACGGCACCAGGCATGTGCACAGGCTCCTTTCATGGAGACACTGGTGACCTATAATGGGGAATTGGGAGAGGGTCAAGAGGGTCCCCACCTGCCCCCCCGGTCTCTGGAGAAGATGGCACTTGGCGCCTAGGTGTGTGTTAAATTAGAAGCCTGCCCTTCAGGCTGCAGCTTTTAAGCTCAGCAAATAGGCCTCTTTCATGTAATGACTGTGTGTTTCAGTCTGCTCTCTCTGTGCTGGGCCCTGGGGAGAAAGCCACATGAATCTGTGTGATCCCATTAAGACCTTTTCTTAGTTCACTATACCCTTGTGGGTCTGGTGGATGCAAGCCCACTGGCTTCCAGAGCTAGATGTTTTGAGGCCCCATCTCTCAGGTGAAAGTCTTAAAAGTTATGGCACCAGATGTGGCTTCCAAACCCTTTGTTCCTCAGGGAGAAGAGGGGAGTTGTGAGTTCCCTTCTCATTATATGTTACCACGTGGGGTTGGGGTTTTGGCAAGTTTCTTTTTCAGCCTCTCTTACCTGTATTGATGTGGATTTTTTCTCATTCAGCAAGTATGCAGAAGGTGCTCAGCCACTTTCTGGATTTCTTTCAGAGGGAATTGTTCCATAGGTAGCTATAGGTTCGGTGTGTCCATGGGAAGAGGGGAGTACAGGAGCCTCCTAATGTTCCATCTTGAACTGGAGCCTTCTCATCACATTTCTATGTGAAATATATTTCTAGTTTTCTCAAGAAACTTAAGTGTTTAAGCATTAAAGTGTTACCTTAATTATTATAAACTATGCCCCAATGAAATATTCTGAAATTATACATATTTAAATTTATAAGTGTAAAATCATGAAAATTTTCAAAAGACAAGAAAGAAGAAAATGGTATAAAAGAAACTTACGTATCCACCACCAGATTTAACAAATATTGACATTTTACAGTATTTGTTTATCAGTCTTTTAAAAAGTAAAGTAAAATATTAAAAGTACAGCTAAAACTTTACCTCAGTTTTTCCCTCTTCCTTGTTCACAGAGGTAATTAATATTCTGACATTGGTGTCTGTTTCCATGCTTGTTTTTAAATATGTTGCACATATGTATATATCTGTAGATAATATATATTTTCTATTTTTAAAATCTATACAAATGGTCATACTGTTTATAAATTTAAGATTTTCACTTTATTGGTCCTTTTCAACAATTTGACTATGATATGCCTAGGTGTGGTGTCATTTTGCGTTTATCTTGCTTTGAGTTTGCTAAACTTTTTGAACCTGTACATTTATTTTTCAGATATTCATTTTTCACATATTTTTTCTTCATTTTCTTCTTCTAGGATCCATTTAAACATATGGTAGATGTTTCACCATTGTCCTACAGATTGTTGATCTTAAGCTCATTTTTTAATAGTTCTTCTCTTTCAGATTGGATAATTTCTACTGATATATTTTCAAGTTCATTGAATCTTTCTTATTTCGACTCCAATAAGCTATTAAGCCCATTCAGTGAGGTTTTTTAAATTTCAGATACTGCATTTTAGAGTTCTAGAATTTCATTTGGTTTTTACAGTTTCTCATTCTCTGCTGAGATTTCTCATCTAGTCGTTCATTATGACTGTATTTTCTTTTACATACTTGAACATATTCATAATAACTGCTTTAAAATCCCTTTCTGCTATTATCTTACATTGTCCTCTGACTCCTCCCTTACCCCTCAGCACCTACTGGGATCTTCCCTCAGACAGAAAGCCGTACAAATGTGCTTCTAACCCAGTGTTCTCTGCCTTTCTACTTTCTGTCTGACTTTGGTTGCTCTCCAGTGCCTTGGGTTGTTGTTTGGTTATATTTTGTCCAGAGTTTATAGTGTTACCTGCAGGAAAGTTGGTCTGATGGAAGCTATTCCACTATTAATAGAAGCAGAACTCCTTGCATAACTTTTTTTAATGTGGTGAAAAATATATAAGATAAAATTTGCCATTTTAACCCTTTTAAGTATACAATTCAGGGACATTAGTTGCACTTACAATGTTGTGGATCAGTTATCACTATCTATACCCCATACTTTTTCTTACCCAAACAGAAAGCCTGTGCCCATTAAGCAATAAATCCCCATTCCTCCAACCTCCAGCCCTTGGTAACCGCTATTCTACTTTCTCTCTTTATAAATTTGCCTATTCTACATATTTCATATAAGTGGAAAAAGAACAAATATTTGTTCTTTTTGTGTCTGATATAGTTCACTTAGCATAATATTTCAAAGTTCATTCATGTTGTAGAATGTCTCAGAACTTCATTCCTTTTTAAGGTTGAATAATGTTCCATTGTATGTCTGTGCTACATTTTGTTTATCTATTCATCTGTTGATGGACACTTGGGTTGTTTCACATATTGGCTATTGTGAATAATGCTGTTCTGAACATGGGCATATAAGTATCTATTGGAGTTCCTGCTTTCATTTATTTTGGGTTTATACCTTTGAATGGCATTGCTGCATCATATGGTAATTCTTTAACTTTTTGAGGAACTGCTCAACGTGTTTTCCACAGTGACTATACCATTTTATACTCCCACCAGTAATGTACAAGCATTCCAATTTCTTCAAATTCTCACCAACACTTATTTTCTTTGTATTGTCTTTATTATTACTATTATAGCCATCCTAGTGGTTGTAAAGTGGTATCTCATTGTGGTTTTGATTTGCATTTCCCTAATGGCTAATGATGTTGAGTATTTTTTCATGTGCTTGTTGACCATTTGTATATCTTCTTTGGAGAAATGTCTACTCAAGTCTTTTGCCCGTTTTTTAATTGGGTTGTCTTTTTGTTGAGTAGTGGGAGTTCTTTATACATTCTGGGTATTAAACTTTTGTCAGATATATAGTTTGCAAATATTTTTACCCATTCCTTAGTTTGTCTTTTCACTTTCTTAATAGGATCCTCTGATGCAAAAAGTTTTTAATTTTGATGAAATCAAATTTGTCTATTTTTCTTTTGTTGCTCATTCTTTTGGTGTCATATCTAAGAATCCATTGCCAAATCCAAGGTCATGAAGATTTACCCCTGTTTTGTTCTAGGAGTTTTATCATTTTAGCTCTATTGTTTAAGTCTTTCATCCATTTAGTGTTAATTTTTGTATATGGTGGGAAGTAGGGATCCAACTTTATCGTTTGCATGTGGAAATACAATTTTCTCAGCACTATCTCTTGAAAGACTATTCTTTCTCCCATTGAATGTACTTGACACCTTTGTTGAAAATCAATTGGCCATATATAAGGGTTTATGTCTGGACTCTCAATTCTATCTGATTGGTCTACCTGTCTATCCTAAAGCTAGCATCACACTGTTTTGATTACTTACTGTAGCTTTGTAGTAAGTTTTGAAATTGGGAACTGTGAATGCTCCAACTTTGTTCTTTTTCAGGATTGTTTTGGCTGTTCAGGGTCTCTCACATTTCCATGTGAATTTGAGTATCGGTTTTTCCATTCAACAAAAGAATAACTTTTTTTAAACCTGCTTTTTGGATTCTGTTTGTTTTGGAGACTCATCCATGTTTATACATAGATATTTAGTTCACTTACTGCTGATGGATTTTAAGGAAATGTCTGAATAGGTCTCAGTGTGTTTGTCCTTTCTCCTGTTGAAGTACAATTAGATTGTTCCTTTTTTTTTTTTTTTGCTAATTTAACAGGCAATGCCACAATGAACGTTCTTGCACATGCTACTTGTTCACGTTTGAAAATTTGTTTAGGACAAAAGTTCTCAACCTGGGGCAGTTTTGCCTGTCAGGGAACATTTGGCATATTTGGAGACATTTTTGATTATCAAGAGAAGGGGCGTGCTGCTGGCATCTAGATGATGAAGACCAGAGATGCTACTAAACATTCTATAGTGCAAGAAGACACTCCCACCCACCCCTCAACAAAGTATTATCCAAATTACCCAATTTGTTAATAGTCCCAGGATTGAGAAACCCTGCTCTGGGGCATATACTTAGAAGTGGGATTGATAAAGCTTGGGGGGGTGTGCCATTTTTTTTTTTCTTTTTGGTTATTATATGAAATGGATTTCTGTAAAACATGAAGAAAATATTTCTAATACAAGTAAAAGTTTGGAATGTTAGGAATTCAAATTCCTTTGGTGATGCTGGCAATCCCGCAATTATGAGCAATTTAATGATCTTAAACCAGAGTAGCGGTATTATCCAGGGTTAACTAGTTCATTCACTACCCAGAGGGTGCATATAATCTGTTACCTTCATGAACTGAAATACATTGGTTCTTCCTGCCTGATTAAAAAATTGAGTTGAGAGTAGGAATCTGCTTCAAAAAAGTGTGATTGTGCAGGACTAAGGTAGTTAGAATATTAGGCTGAAGATGTTGACTGAATGAGAGGAAAGTTACAGCATTAAAAAATGCAGTTTTTTCTGACAAAGATGTTGTTAAATATTGAAGGCTTAAAGGTTTGAAACGTTTCTTTCTCTCTGGTGTGATTTAGTTTTTTTAATTGGAGACAGGGGAATGAACTTAATGAATTCTGAGACCTACTTTTAAGCGTGTAAGACCCATGGCTATCCCTTTGAACATCTGATGACAACTATGGCCCCAGAACTATGTGCATGCTTGTGTCATACACTTTTGCATGATTTTGGGGTGGTTTCTGCATGCTCCTGAAGCCCGTCTATGGACTACTCCCTTCCTTCTCAACCTGCCCCCCCCCAGATTTCCAGGTTAAGAAGTTCGCTAACAGTCTATTAAAACACTTAAAGTGCTAAAAATAAGATTTGTTTGTATCTTCTTCGCCAAATGCAGAAAACTAAGTGATAGAGAAAAATTGGTGGAATTAGAATTCTTCAAGTCCTCCGATATTGAATGAGTGAATACAGATCTTATTTTATCCGTAACCTTCATTTTTCTTTCTCTTTTCACTAGCTGTATGCAGCAGTTCTGTGGCAACAAGCTAATGAAAACAGACAAAATTCAACTGGAAAAGCATGTTTTGGAACCACCCTACCAGAAGAAAAACTTAATGACTTTCGTGATGAACAAATTGGACAGTTGCAGGAGCTGATGCAGGAAGCCACTAAACCCAATAGGCAATTTAGTATTACGGAGTCTCGGAAACCGAAACTTTAGTCTATCCAGAAAAGCTTAACAAAGCGTTTCAAGTTCAGAACTGCTTAATTTAACATATCCTTGTTTTTAAAAATGTATTTCTTCAGCTTTTAGGCTTTGAGAATGCCTGGTGTTAATGACGTATTCTTTTATTTGGAGATGTCATGAATGCTATCTGCAATATATAGATCAGGATCACTAGTGGATGAAGCTTTACATTATTGAAGTAACGGTACTTGATGGAATTTGATTTTTGGACTAAAGAAAGAATGGCTATGAAATGGACAAAACTGTGGAATTTTGCCAAACATTTTTTATATATAAATTTGTTTTTAATGCTATTCTTGTTCAAGCATCAGCCTCATCTCTTTAGCTTCATCAGATAAATATATCATGATAATGATAGATGTGGAATTCCAACAAGGTTATTATTTAAAGACATTGTCATCCTGAAAGTTTTATTTCTACTTTAATAGTACATATATGACTATTCTCTTAAATGCCCGTTATCCCCTAGTCATTGTTTATTTACAATAAAGGGTTAAAAAGAAGCTTTAAGATTTAGTAGTATACTATCATTTATATAATATACATTGTATAATTCATTTCTACAGTATTTGTTAGTAAGACAGATTACCCTTAAATAATTTGTAGTTACCTTGAGAATCTCATTGCCTAATGATTGAGGAGATAAAATGACCTTCATAAATTTTTTGTACACTTAAGTTGATTTATAAACTGAAAAAAGCAAATGATAATCCCATTCACATCCTAAAATGTGTATGAATTTTAAAAATTATTATACACTAAAATGACTTGTATCTTTATGTATGTTTACTCTGAGATTCTGAAGTGATCCTTTCTCAGATGCAATTGTGTTTATGTCAGCTCTTTAAAAATTGATTTGTGTTTGCTCTGGTTTGCTGTCTTGTGCTTTCTCTTTGTGTATGGCTGCCAGGCCCCTCAGTCCTTTCTTCCATTCCTCTTTGAGTCAGTCTGTAGGTTGATCAGTTAGTCTTTTCTCATTGAGAGAGAGGCAGTCAGTCAATCAATAATCTAGTCTCTACACTATAACAGGTTCTAGGAATACAGCAATGAATAAGATAAAGCTCTTGCCCTCAAGAAGTTTAAAATCTGACTGTGCATTCAGGAACCTTGTTTCATCATGACCAAATACAGTGCATCCTCAAACTCGTTACGGTACTATCTTTTTCATCATCTTGGCAAATAGAAATCTAACACCCATGAGGATACTGCTTCTCTGCATCTTGTGAAGTGGGAGTTGTGGATCCATTTACAACTTGCTATAACGTAAAACCCCCTCCTTACTGTCCCTTTCAATTCATCATTGTGCCACCGTAACTTAAGAATTCTTTTTCATTTATACTTTGTTTTTTGTTATACTTCCCTATTCCTTTTTGTTCTTTGGCACTGGCTCATACCTCTCCATCTCAATTTTTGCCATCATGTTGGTGACCTTAGTATTAATCCATGTGGTTGACATATCTAGTAGCCTAATGGCTCTTTGACGGTTCATGATTCACTTTCACTTATTCAGTCACCCATAATCATGGTTACACTTAAACTCACTTTGTTCAGAACTGCTGCATATGAAATTATGTATTACAACATTTCATGCTTTTGTCACTATCTCTTACCATAATGTGAGCGGTTTCTTACTCCCACTGCACCTAGTATTTGTTCAACAAATGCCTGTTGAGAACTTTCATATGCCAGGCATCATTCTAGAGACTGGGGATACAGCAGTTATCAAAGACAAAATGTGCAGCCTTTTGGCACTCGCATTCTAAAGGATGGAAATAAAATATGTAAATAAAATATGTAGGGTGATAAGTACTATGGAGAAAAATAAAGCTAGGTTAGGGGATAGAGCTGTGGTTCCCCAATTGTGAACTGAGATGCCCCAGGGCACCAAAGAGAACTCACAGGGGTGCTGGAGGATATTTTAAGTTTTTCAGGAAATCACAGCCATATTTATTGGACACCACACAAATTACTAGCTTGAGGTATTTCACAGTTTTACTATTATATTGCAACATTCTTTTGGATTACATATCTTTGTGAAGCTGGGCTTTTAGCAATTGCTGTGATAAAAGCAAGTATAACAGAAAAATTAGTAAGAGAAAATGTCCAATGTGGTTACAAAGTTTGAGAAGCTGTGTGGTGTCCAACAGGTGCTCAGTTGTTAGGACAAATACTAAGTTGTTTGGACTATGTAATAAATGAAACCATATGGGTTTTTGGGTTTGTTTTTGCTGTAGGTGTGCTGTGCAAATACTGAGACAGTAAGGGTATGTTTGGAAATTCCTGAAGTAGTGTCAAGGAATGAATGGTCTTTAACTGTGAACTCACTAGTCTTTTGACCACTCCATTTGATCAATGTCATTTCTTTACTGCCTTCACTTCCATCCCAATCTGCCCTAGTTTCTGTGATCCTTCGCTTCAGCCAGCCATTAGCAATGCCCTCAATGTCATCATCTCCTTTTCTTTTTCCCTCATCATCTGCTCTCACCAAGGTGACCACTCACTCGCTGAAATCAATAGGATATTAATCAGTGTAAGATTGATAAGTTATCCTGTGAGGCTTGATAGTATTAACTATTCTCTACTACTTTCAAACCACTCCTGCTTGGTTTGTATACTGCCTAACTCTCCTTTAAGTTATAAATTTTCTTTTTTTTCTTTTTAAATAAAGATGTTGTCTGGGATTTCATCTTTAGGACTCTTAGTTTACACATCCATTGCTTCAGATATTAGCTTTACTCTTAAATCTGTAACACCAACCTCAGTCTCATTTCTGAACTTCAGGTCTGTGTTTGAAATTCTGTTTGGCATTTCCAACTCATTTAAAATCAGATTTACTATCATTCATTCACTGAGCAGGGAAGGAAAGTAACATATACCCAGTTCACCAGTTTAGGGTTCTTCAATTCAGCCTGAATTTCACCATTTCTCTAGAGGGCTCCTTCTCATTTAACAGCAATTCTGACAACTCCATGTAGTGGACTGCAAAATGACCATAGTTCTCTACTGCTCCTGGTACCCATGCCCTTTGCAATGTGACTTTGCAGCTCCTTCCATCACATCTATTTTTCAGCTCTTCAAACCTGAACTGGCCTTGTTCCTTGATTTGCTCAAAAGAATATGGGTATGACATTATGCAAATTTAGGGTGTAGGCCTCAGAGTCTTATACACTTCCTCCCGCACTGTTGGAAACCTGCCCAGCTGTCATGTGAACAAGCTCAGGCTGACCTATCAGAGGATGAGAGATCATATGGAGCAGAGGTGAGCTACCCTAGCTGAAGCCATCCTAGACCAACCAGCTCTCAGCCAACCACAGATATGTGAATGAGCCCTCCCAAGATCAGAAGAACTGCCCAGCTGATCCCAGCCCGAATTGCCAATGATAAGCCGAATAAATTGTAGTTCTTTTAAATCACTCTGTTTTGCGGTGGTTTGCTATACAGTTAAAGCTGCTACACTCTACTGCTTTACTCTCTCAAAATCATTCCTTTTTTTCCACTTAGCAGTCTGGTATTTTAGACTTAGAATTTTTTTTTCTGTAGTAACCTGTATGTGGCTTCCGTGACTTTGGCCTGCTCCTTAATATATTATTCTCCATGTGGTTGTAAACATCACCTTACTGATATGCAGATCTGATCATAACATTTTTCTGCTTGAAATTTGGAATGGGGGAGATGTTTGGATTATACTCAATGGCAGTAAGAGATGGCACAATGAGCATCTTACCACTGGTGGTGGTGGTTGAGAATCTGACACAGTTTATGGAAATAAATTGGCAATGTGTATTAAGAACATCAAAAATTATCATGCCTTTTGCACTCATTAATTCTATTTTTAGGGTTCTATCCTAAGGAAAAAAATTCAGAAATGTGGACAGAGTTTTTCATAATTAGAATGTTTTTTAAGAGAGTGAAAATTTAAGAACAGTAAAAATTCCCCAAACATCAGAAATTGAGTTGTGATAATATGCATAATTAAACACTTTAAATTTAGGTTTACAAAGAGCTGCTTAACTTTTTTTGAAATTATGGTAGTTTACAACCTTGTGAAATTTCAGTTGTACGTTATTGTTTGTCAGTCGTGTTATAGGTACACCACTTCACCCTTTGTGCCCACCTCCCACCCCCGCTTTCCCCTGGTAACCACTAATCTGTTCTCTTACAAAGAGTTTTTAATGACGTGGGAAATTTCTTGACATTGATAAACAAGGAAAGGATGCTACAAAATATACAACATTTTCACAAAGATGTTAGATTTCCTTTTCTGCAATGTACGTTGATCTGAGCACTTCTCTTGCTGAAAACTAAAACTTTTAGGTAGAGTATAAAGTCATTTTGGGGAAACATCTAGGCGTTGGCAATATCCTAAGAGATTAAGTAATTACAAGTCCAATTTCTAAGTGAAACTGCTGAAGACTCTTTTGCCCTGAGGGTAAATTTCAGCTTTGGTTTTGATGCTCCTTTGGACCACAGAGGGCAGAAGACAAAGCATAGATAGAGCTCACCTGAGGTGGAGAAAACCAGCCTCTCACTTTCAAGGTAAGAGTGAGCTAGAAGCAGACCCGCTCCAGTATTTGTGCCAAGTTGCAGGCCATGCCAAATTCAAGTGATCTGGGTGTTAAAACAAACAAAACTTAAGCTATGAACTTAGTGGCCCCAGAATGAGTACCTGGCAGATATAACAGGTCTTTCGAGGATAATAAGGTCACAAATAATTTTCCTAGGAAGTGAATGCGTCAAATTTAAACTTCACAAGGAAGACTAGCGCCATTAATGAAAGACAAAGGACCATCAGAAAACAACTTTGGAAGTAGCACATGTATAATATAAAACATCTATATATGTTTAAAAAATAAAAGTCAAGTTTGAAAATCTCTTCAGGAAACGGCATAAAAATTGACCTAGCCTATTTGAAAAAGAACCAAGTAGAAGTTCTCGAAATGGAAAATAGAATAACTAAAATTAAAAATAAACCAATGGGCAAGTTTAACAGAAGATTAGATAGATAGGCCTGAAAAAAGAATTAATGACTGCAAAATAGGACAAAAAAAAGTACCCAGAATGTAACATAGAAAAGGAGTTTGCAAATATGAAAGAGTGGAGGATAAAGTAAAAGGGTCTAGTGTATAGCTAATAATAGTTTCAAATAGATAATTGGGCAGAAGCAATATTTGAAGAGAAAATTGCTGAGAATTTTTCAAATCAATGAAAAGTGTCAATCCACAGATTTATGCCAAGCAGGATAAATATGAAATCCTCACTTAAACCATGCTGAAACAGTAGAATGCTAAAGACAAAAACTTGTAAAAGTAGCCAAAAGTCACAGATGACCTTCAAAACAATATCAGCTAGACTTTTCTTTAGTTGACTTGTCAACAGTGATAATGGAAGCTAGAGACCAATTGAATGACTATCTGTAGTGTGTGAGAGAAAAGTAACTTCCAACTTAAAATTCTGTAGTCAGCAAATATATTTAGAGAATGATGGTGGTATAAAGACAGTTGTAGAACAAAACATGAGCAAGGTTGCCACCTGTAGCTCTTAGGAAAGGAAATTCTGAAGGCTGTGCTTCATGTAGTAGGAAAGTGATGAGAGGAATAAAGGACCAAGATGGTTGTAGGTATAAAATAATCTAAAGTAACATTTACCATATACTTCATGGGGTTAAAAAATGAGGGATTTAAAATACACAAGAATAATGATTATATATATATTGGTAGAGTAGTGATTAGAGTAAGTGCTTTCAGTGTGGATGGTCTGAGAAGAGACTAAAAATATTGATTAACTTAAAGTATGAAGGTGATACCTAGTGTGTAACTCATTTCTATGTAGCAACCAATAAAATGGTTGTTATATAGAGATGAGTATATAACTTACAAGCTAGTAGAGGGGAAAAATGAAAGAGGGAAAAAGATCTTTATAAAATAAGGAAAGTAAAGAGAAAAACATAGAAGGGGAAGGATAAATAGAAAAATATTGAGATAATAGATATAACCCAAATATGTCAGTAATTACATTAAATGTCAATGGACTAAGTTATCTACTTAAAGGCAGATTGTTAAACCGGTTGAAAAATGAAACCAATGATATGCTGTTGTAAGAGACCACACTTAAAGCATAAAATGCAGAAAATTTCAAAGTAAAATAATGGTAAAAGTTATACCAGCCAAAAGTAAGCTGATGTAGGTGTATTAATATCTGAAAAGATTGTTAAAGCAGAAACATTGCTAGAGATAAAGTAACTTCATAGAATGAAAGTTTCACTTGAGTAGGAGGATAATTTTAAATTGGTATTTACCTGGGAAGTAAATGATTAAGCAGCCCCATATTTTAGGAAGTTAACACAGTTCCAAATAACCCATGAATCAATCAAGAAATCCTAATGGATCTTAGAATATAAGTGGAACTGAACACTACTGAAATAATAAAATGTATGGGTTGTAGCTAAAACAGTAGTTGGAAGAAATTGATAGCCTTAAATGTGTGTAGTAGAACGAAAGGCTGACTATTAATGAGAGAATCAACTATCTTAATAAGTTAGAAAAACGCAAAATAATCTCAGAAAAGAAGAAAATAAAGAGCAGGAAGTAATAAAAAAATCAAAAGTTTATTCTTTGAAAAAGACTCAACAGTGATAAACCTCTGGCAAAGTTAAGAAAAAAGAGAGCAGGTGCACATAAATATCAGGAGTGAAAAAGAGGACATAATTTTCTGTTGTGACATTAAATAGATCTTATGAACACCTTACAGGCAATAAATTTATGACATGTAGAAGAAATGGACATATTTTTAGACATCTATAGCTTACCAAAAAAGACAAAAGAATGGTTCTATAGCCATTAAATTAATTGAATGTATATTCCTAGAAAAAAATTGCAGGCCTAAACCACTTCTTTGGTGAGTATTGCCAAATATTCAAAAAATATATAATTTTGAACATAAGCCCTTCCAGAGAATAGAAAATGAGGGATACTCCTTAACTCAGTTTATGAGGCCAGCAAATACCTGATACCAAATGATGATATGAGAAAGGAAAATTACAGGCCAATTTCACTTAGGAACATCGATGCAAAATCCTAAACTAAGTGTTAAGACCAATCCAGCCAAGATCATGATTCATCAGGACCTGGTCAGGCTTATGCTGGGAATCAAAAGTTGTTTTATACTAGAAAATCAATTACCATGATCCACCACATAATCAAATTAAAGGAGATTTAATCATGATGATCTCATTGGATGTAGAAAAAGCATTTGCTAAACATTCAACATCCATTCTGATAAAAACTGTCTTAACAAACTAGATATAAAGGGCACTTCATCAGTCTAATTAAAGGGTTTCTACCAAACGTCTGCAGCAAACAGCATGATGAATCCTTGAAAGCTTTCTCCCTTAGACTGGGAAGGAGACAAGGATGTCTGTCATCACCGCTTTCAAGTCAAAACTGTTAGATAATGTTGTATATGTAGAAGATCTAAAAGAACCTACAAATTATTAGAATAAGAGAATTTAACAAGTTATAAATGCAAAAATTGCTATACAAAAATCAGTTGCATTTTTATATAGCAGCAACAGAGTATGAAAATTCGTAAAAGTATCATTAAAATAATACCAACAAATATTAGATACTTAGCAATTTAACAAAAGATGTACAAAACTCTGGAGAAAGTTATGAAGTTTTACTTAAAGACACTAAAGAAGACAAAGTGGTACTCCATGCTCAAAGATTAGAAGATTTAATATTGCAAATATCTTAATTATCCCCAAATGGTTTGTCGTTTCAATTCAATCTTCGTCAAAATTCCAAATTTTTTTAAATTTTGTATATTTTAAAATTTTATATGGAAGTGTAAAGGAACAAGAATAGCCAAGGCACTCTAAGAAGAATGATATAACAGCGCTTCCCTGCCTGGCAGGTATCAAAATGTAACTATAGTTATTAAGGTAGTGTAGCACTTTATTATATGGAGGCTTGGTTTATGGCCACAGTGGTGCAGCTCTGCAGTGGAATAAGGACTGCTTTTCAACAAATGATTCTGGGACAATTGGGTATTTTTGTGGAGAAAAACTTTGATACCTAGAATTGGTTGTAGGTTTCTTAGAGATTGAAATGTTAAAGGCAAAATTACAACGAGAATATAGAGATTATCTTGAAAATGTTGGGATAGGAGAGGATTTTTTTAAATAAGACACAATCAGCTCTAATCATAAAGGAAAAATGTGAATAAATCTGAATACATTAACATTACTATTTTTCACCAAAAGCAGTAAAGAGTAAAACTGCCAGCCTCAGAGTATGAAGAGATAGTTGCACCACATGCAATAGGCAAAGAAATAGTATACAGAACATCTAAAGAACTCCTATATATCAATGACAAAGGTGTAAAATCCAATAGAAAATGAGCAAAAAACTTG